TTAGTTTTACTAATATTATAGCAATATTAACGATAAAAATAAGAATTCCAACTATAATTATTTTACTATGCAATTATAGTCGTAAATACCAAGCATATTTCTCTCAGTGTGCGAATGGCTCGTAAGGCCTTATATATTTCTTGTGGATAATTTCAACGAGCCTTAAGTCTTAATTGTGTGAAAAAATTCTAGTTAAAAAGAGACAACACAGTTTAGAAAGATGGGGTTCTAGAGGTGCTGTAGTTACTCGGAAAATGATAGTAGATGATGATATAGTTGAAGTTTGAAACGTTCTTCGAGCGATATTATAAAAACCGATTTGCCCCATTTCAATTTTTGTTTACGGCAGTTTTATAATGTTAGACAAAACCTACAAATGCTATAAATCGATTACAGCTATCGGAAACCACTTTAAAACAACCTTATAGTCACTCGTATCATTTTTTCATGACAGGAGTTACCTTATATCTTATTGCATAAGCATCACTTATAAAATAAAAAAAACAGTCAAACAAACCTTATACTTAAGGTTTCCGGCAACCATCGCGACTCCCACAAAACATCCCGTTCGCTACTTAAAAGCATATTTTTCCACTTTGGGTTTGATATGCGAGATGATAAATAGGCAGCAGTGATGGTGATGGCAGCGAGGATTGCAGATTGTGATAGACGTGTATTTAAAAAGTCTTCCTGTGAACGTAAAGAACACTTTTATTTACACTATGTACAAGTCTTTGTCTTTTATAATGGGGCCCTGAAAAGGGCCGTTTAGTGGTGGCCCTGAAAAGAGCCTTTTTATTTTCCCCGGCTGGTGTTCTCCTGCCAGAATATGCGGGGCTCCGCCGTTGTTAACCGCCACTCCTTGGCCAGTATGGGCAAGCTAGGCGGCGTGGTTGGTGGCGTCGCCGGTAGATCCGTCTGCGTAGCTGTGGACGATGTTCCTTTGGTAAGGTCGGCTTGGCACGTCTGCTCTGTGACCGAGGGTCGCTCCTTTTTGGTTCCACGGCGAGTCCGGCGGGTCTGTGTTGCCGCGTGCCGATATTCCTTGCGCTGTGGAGATGAGGGCCAAAGGCGTCAGCGGGCAGGTGAAATCTATTGGCAAAGGGTCTCTCCTCTGCAATGGCGGCGGTGGTGATAAGTCCAGCCGGATGAGTCGCCACAGCAGAAATTCCTCAACTTTGGGCGGTGCTGAAGACCCGAGTGTTCGGGGTCGGTCAGTTCTCCAGGAGGACCTAGACTCTTTTAGCGGAATTGCCTTGATTAATTTTCTCCAACGAATAGAGAAAAGAGATCTCTGTGGTGAGAGATCGGTAGTGTTGCCAGATTCTCAAATCGTCTTTTCCCAACCAGGCTTGCCAAAATTCCCATTATTTCCCATATTTGTTTATTTGTACAAAATGAACTATTTTTACCTGTGATAACTACTTTTTCAATATAACAGTCCAGGGCCTTAATTCTTGAAAAACTTTCGTATACAAAACTCTATTGTTAATGTCACATGTACTATATTGTTAATTCTAAAAGTAAGAACAAAATCACGTTCGATTGATACAAAGCAACTTGTTCTGCTTGCACGCGAACAATATACCAAATATAAGAAATTACGTTGTGACTGACTTTCATATCGTTATTAAGGCAATAAGGATACTTACATGGTTGTCACCACTTAATTTTCCCCCAACTAAATAGAAAAATGTTGCAGATAATGATCTTTTATAGACAAATTCACATCAGAAAACCAGGAGAAATTCCAGAAGAGAAAAAAACACACGCACTTACAAGTGTATTATACATTTATACAGTTTACAAAACTTTGAACACAATATATTTTGAACTTTGAACACAGTAAATAATTGAGTTTTATCACTTTTTTGTTCGCAGGAAATCACAGAAAAGTTGCAAAACGCATTCGTTTGTGGCTGTCACAATCTTTTGTCTTTTGGCACATCTTTACATAACGCAGATTGCGTTCCGATATTCACTGCCAGTACTACATATCTACACTTCACGTTACATGTGCTATAGATTTTCAGTACTGGTAATGAATATCAGAACGCAGTTGAAATTTGTGTGTTTTCTTTTCTCTTTTTAAGACCGTAAGACGGCTACGTTCTACAATACAGTCGTAAGCTGTAAGTTGTAAGAAATTGACCAATTGCAGACGAATCACAGAAGAATAATCAATTGTAATTGGTCAATTTCTTACGACTTACGACTGTAGAACAGGCCTTAAAGGCCTTTGCATGTAAATCGTCGTACCGTAAAACATACCGTAGAAATTAACCAATCAGAATTACCCCATAACCTTATCACTTTCAGATGTGGAAATTTTTAATATAATTGATCAATTTTTACGTTACGGATATGGCAATTCATGTGCGAAGCCTTGACTAACTTTTAGTGAACCTTAAAGCTTGTTTATGACTATCTGCCACGGTACGACTTTTATGATCGTTACAACCTCTTTTTTTATTGTCAAGGCCTTGACAATGTAAAATTTCCCATTTTTAGGTGTTTTTTGGAAAAAAACTTCCTATTCTTCCTTTTTGGTTTTAAGTAATCAAAAATTCCCACAATATGGGAAATTTCCCTCGATCTGGCAACACTGGAGATCGGTGCTCCAGCCTAGTAGCGAGCTGATAGCGCTCAAGCCATTAAAGCGAGCGAGGGATGCTTGATGGGCCGCCGACGACTATCTTATCTAGCCGTCGGGGCTAATGTCGCTTGCGGGCGGACTAGCGCCGTGATGCGTCGTGTAGCGGCGGCGCGCTATACTAGCCGCGCTGCGGCGGGCCGCCGGCCCAAGCTTAAGGCCGTCTCACAGCCGCACTGCGTGTTCGTAGTGTGGTATGCACCACACCCACAAAACTTTGCCCCACTGAGAATATTGTGAAAAGCGACTAAAAAATTGGAGAGAGAGAAAGAGAGAAAGAGAGAAAGAAAGAGATTTGTGTGTGTGTGTGTGTGTGTGTGTGTGTGTGTGTGTGTGTGTGTGTGTGTGATTGATTAATCTTTATTTACCTTTCTCAGCTATTTTAAATACAGTTTTAACAAACATTTGCTATAACATGTTTTTAACATTTTTTTAAATGATTCGAGTCTTTCTTTAGTTTTTATTTCCGCTGGTAAGGCATTGTACATTTTTATTACTTCATAAAACATTTTTTTTGTGCGCTCCTCGTTTTTCTGAATTTTATTTTAATGTCTCCAATTTGCCTCGTTTCTCTTTCACTTTCTATTATTTCTAACCTATCTCTTAATGGTAACAAGTTTCTTAAGATCTTAAAAATAAATATACAAACATTATAATATAACCGTTGTTTTATAGACATAAATTGCAGTGCATCCCTACATACATTCTACTTTGGTATACCTATCACACTGTAATATTACTCTCATAGTCCGATTTTGTGCTACCTGCAACCATATATATAATACTTCTATATTGCTAGTCGCGTATTTTCGCAATGAGAGGCACGAGGCCCGAGAGACGCACAAAGTCCAAATATGGTCATAGATAGTCAAGCGTCATTATGCACAGGCGTGTCTACTAAGCAAGTGCGAACGAGACAAAGCATTGGAAAGAACACGAGAAAGAGAAATGCCCAAACGTGCTTAAATGTTTACCGCATGCGCACAAAGCAGCTGGAGAGAGAGGCTACTATATTGTCTGCACCGTAACATGTGGACTTCAGGTCGGCACCGTACTAGCAATATAGAAGTATTATATATATGCCTGCAACTGACTTACAAGGGAACCTCGCGAACCCGAAAATTCTGATTTTGATGAAACTTTNCACACATGTAAGGGAGGTCAATAGATGAGTATTGACATTTTCCGTTGCTGCTGAAAAACGGTTTTAAGGGATGAAATCACTCCTCATATGTAGAGCGGCTTTTCATTTTTCTCAATTTCTCTCGAAAATGATTAGAGATATTAAAAAATGATTTATACAAAAATTTTATAGAAAAAAGTCCTCTATTTATT